CCTTTGCTCTCCACCCTGTCTTATTCTTTTCTTACAATGTTTCCTTGCTAGGTGGTCATTAACACTTCCACATAATTATTAGCCTTTGGCTCAGATTTTTTTACTTTTTCTTTGTCTGCTGTCACTTTGGCTCTTATCTGAGACCAGTTGTCTTGTTCTTCAGTAGACTTTGGTGTAAAGGGTGATGCATACAGTTTCTTGGATGCACCAGGCTCTGTTAACTATTTATACCACTTCACCTCTGAAGCCTCCCGGGGTGATGGTAGAAGGGAAAGCAGAGTTTAAATGATAGGCTGCCTGTTTGGCTCCAATGCCTGAGCGATTCACACCAGGCACCAGTTCATGGGTTCACCTCTGTAGGATTTTGTATTAGTGCATAGAACAAGTGTGGCAATGCATATATACAATTATGCAAACATTACAGAAATACATACAAGTTTCATTTACTACTCTCGTCTGATGTGACCTGAATTTTGGGGTAAGGTGTAAACCAAGCTGAAGTATCCGAAAGTGTTCAAATCATCTTACTTGGATTTATACATTCATCCAATCTTCAAAGATGTTCCTTTTTTGTTCCTTTGTTCCAGGGTTCTGCCTAATATCTGCCTTGGTTGTCTTTGGGCTATACCATGGTGCTACTTATTTCCGCACCAAAATCAGGCACCTCCTTGTATATTACCACGACACCAAATAAAGGGAGTAGTTGGTGTCCTAGGCTACTTCTTGGGTACCTTCTTGTATCTTCCTAATGTGAGATACCCATTTTATTCTCCAGTGATCCAATTTAGGCAGAGGGCAAGAAGTTGATGTTAACTGTCAGTAATCTTAAACTGACTTACATTTTTCACTGTCTTTGTTTTTTGGGGGGTTTATGTTTGTTTGTTTTTGATTATGAAACATGTTTTTCTTCTTAAGCTTATTTTCAGCTAAGGCACCATTGGAACTACTTTTAGCCTAGGCAACATAGTGAGACATCCTATCTCCATAAAAAATTTAAAAATTAGCCAGGTGTGGTGGTGTGCACCTGTAGTCTTAGCTACTGGGAAGGCTGAGGTAGGAGGTGCGCTTGAGCCCAGGCGTTTGAGGTTGCAGTGAGCCATGATAATGCCGCTGCATTCTAGCCCTGGCAATAGAGCTAGACCCTGTCACTTAAAACTCCACCAAATTTAGAAGGGTAATTCCCTTTTGTAAATTGAAAAAAAATTTTTTTTTACTTGATGCTCATTTACTTTTCCATATGAACATAGAAATAAGCTAAACTTTTATTGATTGGGGAAGGGATTGGTGGCTAGATGCAATATCTTTTACTCTTTAACTTTCTCATCTAGGAATACTATTATTATGTTCCTTCAACTGTCCTTTCTTTTATACTCTTCTGTTTGTATGTTTTATAGTTTTATTCTTACCACTTTTGCATCTTTCTGTTTTTTAACAACTTTACTGAGATAACATTTACATGCATATTCTTTAAGAACATCTTTACGGGTATGTTTAATTCAAACTTTAATCCACACTTCTATTTGGTTCTTGTTGGTATATATTAAAGTTATTCAGTCTTTAATATTTGTAAGTATCCACCTGTTTTACTATCCTTAAAAGTAGAGTGGATTTTTCTGTGAATTGCTTGAATATTCTAGAAAGACTATTATGTCTATAATAATTGTGTCTTACCATTTTAATACCATTTTTTATATTATTGTCTATGTTTCAAATAGAACTATAGAATAATTATGAAGGCTATGCATCAGTAAAGGAAGTCAATACATATAGTGAAAAAATAATTAAATGTCCACATACTATTCATTGACATTTTGAATAGAGACTATTTTTGCACAAACAGAACAAGAATGTGTATACTTTTCATGTTCTCCTCTGGCTTTTGGAAGTGGGAAAATTAAAAGGCTGTTTAAGGGCCAGATGCGGTGGCTCACACCTGTAATCCCAGCAGTCTGGGATGCTGAGGCAGGAGGATTGCTTGAGCTCACGAGTTTGAGACCAGCCTGAGCAAGAGACCCCACCTCTACTAAAAATAGAAGAAATTAGCTGGGCATGGTGGCGTGTACCTATAGTCCCAGCTACTTCGGAGGCTGAGGCAGGAGGATCATATGAGTCTCCTGCCCAGGAGTTTGAGGTTGCAGTGAGCTGTGATGACGCCACTGCAATCTACCCAGGGTGACAGAGTGAGACCCTGTCTTCCTTCATAAATAAAGCTGTTTAAGTACTTGTATTTTCTGTTTCCTATATACATATACTATAACTAGAAGCCAGATTTGCCTGCTGTAGCAATAACATTTCTTGGGCTTTGAGTATCTTCTATCCATATCCTGAGAATATAAAAATACTGTCACCTACATTTGCTTCCTGGGACATTTACAGTAACTTTTGCAGAACAGTCGATTTTCTCTCCACCAACATGGGTAGTGCATTTAAATCATGTTTTGCTTTGCTAGGTGTCTAATATTGGGGATCATATTTTCATATACTTATCACCTGCATATTCTCTTGTGAAGTGCCTGTTCAAATTTTTTTGGCCAATTTTCTGTTGTGGAAATTCTTTATATATTTTAGATATGAATATTTTGTTAAATATATATATTGTAAATTTTTTCTCATGGTATCTTGCTTGCCTTTTTTTTTTTTTTTGAGACAGAGTCTCACTTTGTTGCCCAGGCTAGAGTGAGTGCCATGGCCTCAGCCTAGCTCACAGCAACCTCAAACTCCTGGGCTCAAGCAATCCTGCATCAGCCTCCCGAGTGGCTGGGACTACAGGCATGTGCCACTATGCCTGGCTAATTTTTTCCTCTATATATTAGTTAACCAATTAATTTCTTTCTATTTATAGTAGAGACGGGGTCTTGCTCTTGCTCAGGCTGGTTTCAAACTCTTGACCTTGAGCGATTCGCCCACCCTTGCCTCCCAGAGTGCCCGGCCTCTTGCTTGCCTTTATACATTGATAATCTTCTGCTGGTTAATGTGTTGATGAACAGAAGTTCTTAATTTTAATATAACCCAAATTCTTTTTTTTTAATTCACAATTAACAAATTTGGTAATCTGTTTTTACATGATTTACCTGCTGCTCCAGGCCATGAGATATTTTTCTTCTAAAAACTATTGTTTTATTTTTCACATGTTTATCTACAGTATAACTCAAATTGGCCATGTGAGGTAGGACTCAAGATTGATTTTTATCCATATGGGTAGCTACAGTGCCATTTATTGAAAGGGCTATACTTTTTGCACTGCAAGTCACTTTCTCTGTCTGTGTTCCTTTTTTTTTTTTTTTTTTTAATTTTTTCTTTTTCCAAACAAGTCAGTTGTCTGATGTGTTCCTTTTTTTGATTCTTTGCATTTCCACATAAACTTTGGAATGATTTGGTCAGTTTAAAAACATACCCCCCATAACCTCTGATTGAGTTTTTGTTTGTTTGCTTTAGGGCTTCTTTGTTTGTTTGTTTTGTTTTGAGAGACTGGGTCTGGCTCTGTTGTCCTGGCTGGAGTGTAGTTGCGATATCTTAGCTCACTGCAGTCTACAGCTCCTGGGCTCTAGCAATCCTCCCACCTCAGCCTCCTGAGATTATAGGTGTGTGCAGATGTACCCAGCAGATTTAATACTTAAGCAGCTTATGGACGTAGATCTGAATTTAAAGTCAAAGCTCCTAACCACTATGCATAACTTTTCACTGTACACTGAAAGAAATTTAGAAAATGCAGAAAAAAACATAAAACATCATCACTAGAAAGTATTTTACCATTACCAATACAAAGGCTTGATTAATATAAATTTGTTGTTACCTTGACAACTTGAAAATTAATTGGTATAATCTGTTTGAAACAATATATATCATTTTGTATTTGAGGTTTTTGCAAGCAATGTGTTCTTATTTGGCTGTAAAAGGACATATAAATATAGAAAAAATTTTAATATAAATAATTGTGTTTAGGGGGAAGGTCCTAAAGCCAACTCTACTCAAGGAATGCCTTGGTAGCAATGATTGTTAACCATCTGGAGTGACAGAAGAAAGTGATATTGGGTAACTAACGTCTTAAGAAGTTTCATCTCAAATTTTGTAATATTATAGCAACAAAATATTGATTATGCTATTGGTTGCTCCATTTTGGTCACATGGGTGGGCAGTTGCATCATGGACTAATTATGTACTGATTAATGTGGTCAATCTCTCTGCTCTGTAAATTTGTGATATATGGAGGGGGTTTTCAAGAGTTGGATGGTTTTATGTGGCAACTACCTTTCTATAGAATTTTTTAAAGTAAACACTGGGACCACTGGGCAATATTTTATATAGTTCTGAAGCCATTTTCTCATCCTAAGGGTATGATGCAGTGTAAGATAAATGTATGAAAATTCAAAATTAATTGTTGCGTTTTGCATTCACCATGTTAGCTGGACCACATTAGTCTTATAAATGAGTATATTGTATCCTTCTGATAGCATGGAAAAATCTTAGAAATTGCAGGGATATTACTCTATGTATATTTTTCTATATAGTAAAATGGGTCACCTAAAAGAAAAATTCGGAACTGTCCTCAGATGGCCAAATTTCACTATTCAAGTTTATTTTTAATGTGGGGAGCTCTTGGATATTTCCATCTATCTACATTTGTCCTGTTGTGACATTTGTGGAAGTGCACAGCAGCAGTTAGTTAAGTTTTCCACTGGGCCCTCTGTTGTCTCTTGGTGCAAACTGTAACAACAGCAAAATAAAATACGAGTGCTTTGTACTACATTTACAAAAAATAATCACATACCACAGATTTCTGTTCTCCCTGTTGTTAGTCATGTAAGCCAGGATACTCTTGTGATGAGTCGCATGGAGGCAACTATTGAGACAATGGAAGGTCCTATAAGCTTCAACCCCTTGAGAAATAGTAATTTAAAAAAAACCTAAAACATAATCATATAGAGCCTTAAAAGGAATATCCACTGCATTTGACTTTAGGATACTTGTTTTCCATAGATAAATGCATTCTATTTTTCCAGGTTTTAAGACGAAGCAGTGATGAAGAAAAAGTTCTTTGTTTGGTCCGGCAGCGTACTGGCCACTGCTGTCCAACAGCGGTGATGGTGGTGCTCATCATGGTATGGGATGGCATTCCTCTTCCCATGGCTGACAGATTGTACACGGAGCTTACTGAGAGTCTAAAGTCATACAACGGTCATCCCACAGACCGAAGATGCACCCTCAATGAAAAGTAATTAAATCTGTTTTGTACTGCGTTGCCGCTCAGATCTCCATTATGTCATGGTATCATGGTCAATTGTGAAGCAACTACCAACTAAGTATATTATCATGTTTTCTTTTAGAACACTTAGTCTTCTTTTTTTTTTTTTTTTTTTTTTTGAGACAGAGTCTCACTTTGTTGCACAGGCTAGAGTGAGTGCCGTGGCGTCAGCCTAGCTCACAGCAACCTCAAACTCCTGGCTCAAGCAATCCTCCTGCCTCAGCCTCCCAAGTAGCTGGGACTACAGGCATGTGCCACCATGCCCAGCTAATTTTTTCTATGTCTATATTAGTTGGTCAATTAATTTCTTTCTATATTTAGTAGAGACAGGGTCTTGCTCAGGCTGGTTTCGAACTCCTGACCTGGAGCAATCCGCCCGCCTCGGCCTCCCAGAGTGCTAGGATTACAGGCGTGAGCCACCGCGCCCGGCCAATAACATGACTTTTATTTCTGTTTGTTCAATTTACTTTTGTGTCCTTCAAGAGTATTTTAATAGTTTGTCTCATATAAGTCTTTTCTCTTTAAGAAAAAAATAGTCATTGTGGGAAATAGGAACAAAAGTCATCCATCCCCTTCCCAATTCTAACAGAAGATTAATTTTTATACATTCCATAGTTTTCCTTTATGTTTATAATATCACCATTTCCTTATAATTTATCTTTCCAATATCACAGTATATATATATAATTTTTAAAGCCTGTTAATTATTTTATTATGTGGATGTACAATAATAATAATACCTCTTGTGTAAAGTCAATGCTCCGAAAATTATACCTATATTCTTATTTAATCTTCCTAATAATCAAATAAAATAAGTAGTATTCTATTTCATTTAACATAGATCTAGCATATCATTTAAAAAGAACTTCAGGCCGGGCGCGGTGGCTCACGCCTGTAATCCTAGCTCTCTGGGAGGCTGAGGCGGGCAGATTGCTCGAGGTCAGGAGTTCGAAACCAACCTGAGCAAGAGCGAGACCCCGTCTCTACTATAAGTAGAAAGAAATTAATTGGCCAACTAATATATACAAAAAATTAGCCGGGCATGGTGGTGCATGCCTGTAGTCCCAGCTACTTGGGAGGCTGAGGCAGGAGGATTGCTTGAGCCAGGAGTTTGAGGTTGCTATGAGCTAGGCTGACGCCATGGCACTCACTCTAGCCTGGGCAACAAAGCGAGACTCTGTCTCAAAAAAAAAAAAAAAAGAACTTCAGAGACCAGCCTGGGTAACAGATAAAGAAAGACCCTGTCTCTACAAAAAATAGAAAAATTAGCTGGGGGTGGTGGTACATACCTATAGTCCCAGCTACTCGGAAGGCTGAGACAGGAGGATTACTTGATCCCAGGAGTTTGAGGTTGTAGTGAGCTATTATGGTGCCACTGCACTGGAGCCTGGGCAGCAGAGCGAGACCCTGTATCAAAGAATAAAATAAAAAACAACTTTATATTTACAGAAAGACACAAGAATACATCAGGGAACTCTTATATACCCTCACTTAAATTCCACAGCTGAGAACATTGTGTTATGTGTTTATTTACACATATGCACACATACAAGCACATATTATTATTTTTTCTTTCTTGATCATTTGAGAGCTAGATGCTGACTATATATCCTTTTTCTCACAAGTAATACTTCAGACTTTAAAATTGAGGATATTCTCTTATATAACCCCAGCATAATGATTAAAATCAGGAAATTTAATTTTGATCAAATACTTTTTCTTTTTTTTGAGACAGAGTCTCACTCTGTTGCCCTGGCTAGAGTGCTGTGGCATCAGCCTAGCTCACAGCAACCTCAAACTCCTGGGCTCAAATGATCTTCCTGCCTCAGCCTCACATGTAGCTGGGACTACAGGCATGAGCCACCATACCCGGCTAATTTTTTCTATATATTTTAGCTGTCCAAGTAATTTCTTTCTATTTTTAGTAGAGATGGGGTCTTACTCTTGCTCAGGCTGGTCTCGAACTCCTGAGCTCAAACGATCCACCTGCTTCGGCCTCCCAGAGTGTTAGGATTACAGGCGTGAGCCACCTCGCGGGCCTGTGTTTAGTTTTTTACATAACAGTCAATAGTAAATTAAGGTATATTTTCCCCTCTTTCCTATGTATCTTTTCATTGATATAAATACATTTCTTATTTTTCTATTTTTTTGGCAACTTTAATTTTCTTCTTCAATTTCAAATTGAATTTAACCTCCTTGATTTTATTTGTATCTAATTTCTTCCTTATCAAGCTACTGTAACATTTTGCCCCTTAAAAGTCCGTCTTCTTGGTAAGAAGTTTTATGGGAAGCTAGCATCTTCAACTTACTCCTTTTCTCTCCTTTTTTCCCCCTCATAATACCTTGACTGATCTTTATTGTAGTCTTTCTTGCAAGCAATGTTATGTCACATATCAGGCATTTTCCTGACATTCACAATTAAAAAAGAAAAATAGGTGGCTAACACCTATAATCCAACATTTTTGGAGGCAAAGGCAGGAGGATCGCCTGAGACCAGCCTGGGGAATACAGGAAGACCCGGTCCCTACAAAAAGGTAGAAAAAGGCCGGGCGCTGTGGCTCACGCCTGTAATCCTAGCTCTTGGGAGGCCGAGGCGGGCGGATTGCTCAAGGTCAGGAGTTCAAAGCCAGCCTGAGCAAGAGCGAGACCCCGTCTCTACTATAAATAGAAAGAAATTAATTGGCCAACTGATATATATATAAAAAAATTAGCCGGGCATGGTGGTGCATGCCTGTAGTCCCAGCTACCCGGGAGGCTGAGGCAGAAGGATCACTGGAGCCCAGGAGTTTGAGGTTGCTGTGAGCTAGGCTGACGCCACGGCACTCACTCTAGCCTGGGCAACAAAGCGAGACTCTGTCTCAAAAAAAAAAAAAAAAAAAAGGTAGAAAAAAAAAATTAGCCAAGCCAGGTTTTTTGTCCCAGCCACTTTGGAGGCTGAGGTGAGAGGATAGTGTGAGCCAGGAGTTGGAGGTTACAGTAAGCTATAATAGTACCACTGTGCTCCAGCACAGGCGACAGGGTGAGACCGTGTCTCCAAAAAAAAAACACAATAGTTTTGATTGCTAAATATCTATATTATTTTTACCTTAAAAGAATAATATTTGTGTTTTTAAAACTGTATATTTTCATCATGTGCTATTGGAGGTTTTAAGCAATATGCACATTTAGAACCACGAGAAGAGTAAATGCTATTTTCTTGGTTTCAGATCTTTGTATGTATATACTAAACATTGTCACTCTTACTATAGAGTCTACTTTAGGGCTTTGGAAATGTCCTAAATGTGATACACTTACCAAGTTACTAAATGTAAAAGGCCATGTCCTCCATTTTTCTGATATACATGTATGAAATCTTTAAAATTGAGAAAGGAATAAATACATCATATTATCCTTTTTGAATCCTCAGAAAATTATATCAGTCTCATTTTTGACATAAAGAAACTGAATTCCATAAAGAAGCTGAATTCGGGGAGCGGGGAGGAGGGGATGAGTATATACAAACACAATGAGTGAGATGTGCAATGTTTGGAGGATGGTCGCCCTTGAAGCTCTGACTCGAGGGGGGAGGGGGACATGGGCAATATACGTAACCTTACATTTGACATTTGTATCCCCATAATATGCTGAAATTAAAAAAAAATAATTTAAAAAAAAGAAGAAGCTGAATTCCAAAGAGCTAATCAGTTGTTGTGTTTTCATTTCTGATAGGAAACACATGTAGGATTTAAAATCCAGGTTCTTTATTTCCCCCATCTCAGACATCTCCAAATTGAATGAGATTATGGATATTTTATTTTATCATTTATTTTTTTGGAGACAAGAGTCTTGCTTTATTGCTCTGGCTAGTGTGCAGTGGTGTCATCATACTCACTGTAACCTCTAACTCCTGGGCTCATGCCATCCTCCTGCCTCAGCTTCCCAAGTAGCTGCGACTAGAGGTGCATGCCACCACACACACCATTCCTCCCGCCTCGGCCTCAGAGTGTTAGGATTACAGGCATGAGCCACCTGGCCTGGGCCCTGAGTGTGTGGATATTTTAGATCTGTATTGTTTATTTCCATTTCTTTGTGTTTACACTCTTAATATTTTAGGTAAAAATTTGGTTATAATCAAGTACAGTTAGCTTTTTATTGTTAGCACAAAACTACTTTAGATTAAATAAGTAATAAAATTAGCGTTATAACCAGTGCATTAGCCATCTATACTGCTAAAATTATATAAACATAAAATGTTGTGTCTGAGATTTTGTCCTGCTTTATCAGTTCACTCCTTTGCTATTACCATCTTACAGTCGTACCTGTACATGTCAAGGAGTTGATCCGGAGACTTGTGGAGCTTCATTCTCTTTTGGCTGTTCATGGAGTATGTACTTCAATGGCTGTAAGTTTGGTAGAAGCCCAAGCCCCAGAAGATTTAGAATTGATCCAAGCTCTCCCTTGCACGTAAGTGACCTTTATATTTTTGATTTACACAATAAATATGTAAGTACATTCCTTCAAAGCTTTTTTGAAACACTAAAAAAATTAAATATTAAAAATTAGTAATATAATAGTAAAATTTATGTATATATGTATAAGTAAATAATTTAAAATTCTAAATAAATTAGGTAAACTCTTTAGCTAATCAACCCGAATTCCAGTTGTCCTTGGCTTCCTCCTCCTGCTCTGCTCCCCTACCCCAGAGGGAATCATTGTTAAAAGAGTCTAGAATTTTATGCCCAGCCAAATTAGGAAAAAGCCATTTGCCAACATTTCAAAGACTCAGAAAGTTTACTACCCACAGACCTACTATGAAAGAATTACTAAAGGACGTAATCCAGAAAGAAGATATGTGAAACCGGAACGAATCTGTCCGGGACACGAGGCCATGGTGAGCAAAGAAATTAGTCAAATTTGGTGTTAAGTTTAAATAAGTTGAGTAGAACCTATACGTATAATTCCATAGCTTCATCAACTCTCGGGTGGGTAGGCAGTGGGGAGTGGTTGGGGCACAAATAGGAACTAAGTATGGTAATGTTTGTCGGCTTTGTTTGGGTGGAGAAAATTTACATATTGATTAACTCTAAAATTGGTGTGTTTTGATCATTGAGCAGTGACCAAGAGTAAAAAACATTTTGTTTTTTCTTTTTTTTCTTAAGTTTGCGAGATGCGAATAAAAAACATTTTGTATTACAAACAAGTGTATACATACACACAAGAAAATAATTAAAATAAGACTAACAGAAAACAATACTTACTCTTCTTACATGTAACAGTACTAACATTAAAATATAAAGAAAGTTAATGTCAATATAGTAATTTCTAATCTGTATGATGCATTATTATAATATTTTGAATTAGATTTCCTTTTTGAACTGTTAGTTTTGACCTACTAAGCTGATTTTATGTCCCACTAAGGAGTCATGAGCCAAAGATTGGAAAACACACATTTCACAAAGTATATGTTATATTTCTATTAATTAGTAGCAATAGAATTTATATCTTTTGAACTAGTGGGAAAAAATTTTTTTAAAGAAAACAGGGGCCTGGCATGGTTGTTCCTACCTATAATCCTAGCACTTTGGGAGACCTAAGGGGAAGGATTGCTTGAGGTCGGTAATTTGAGACCAGCCTGAACAACATATCTACAAAAATAGAAAAATTAACTGGGCATAGTGGTGGGCACACCTGTAGTGCCAGCTTCTTGGGAGGCTGATGTAAGAGGTTCTCTTGAACCTAGGAGTTTGAGGTTGCAGTGAGCTATGATAATACTACTAGACTCTAGTCTTGTAGTCTATAAGTCAGTGAAGGGAGTTAAAGAAACCATTGGCATGCATGATAAATAGAAAACACCAAATTAAACAGCAGGAATTAATCCAACTATATATGTAATATAATTAATATAGTACCTTTCAAAAACTCACAATTAAGAAATAATATTCCTATTACAGACATAATCAAAATTATTTAGCATTTTCTAGAGTTTCCAGCTATTGCAATAAAACCGGGAAGTGGCTCAAAAGAGAGGGAAGTATTATTTGCAGATAATATGATTTTCTATCTAGAAAACACAAAATAATCAACCTACTGAATATTATGACTATTAATAAGTTTAACAAGATGGCAAGATACAATGCTATCTTGTTAAAAACCAATTTGCTTTCTTTTTTTTTTCTTTTTATTTCATCATATTATGGGGGTACAAATATTGTTAAGGTTCAATTAACTTTCATGTCTAGCAGTCATAACCATTAGGAAACATGACATTCAAAAAGAGTCCCATTGGCCGGGCGTGGTGGCTCACGCCTGTAATCCTAGCACTCTGGGAGGCCGAGACGGGAGGATCACTCAAGGTCAGGAGTTCGAAACCAGCCTGAGCAAGAGTGAGACCCCATCTGTACTAAAAAATTAAAAAAAATTAATTTGACAGCTAAAAATACATAGGAAAAAAATTAGCCAGGCATGGTGGCGCATGCCTGTAGTCCCAGCTACTCAGGAAGCTGAGGCAGGAGGATCGCTTTAGCCCAGGAGTTGGAAGTGGCTGTGAGCTAGGCTGATGCCACGGCCCCCCAGCCCAGGCAACAGAGTGAGACTTTGTCTCAAAAACACACAAACAGGCCGGGCGCAGTGGCTCACGCCTGTAATCCTAGCACTCTGGGAGGCCGAGGCGGGCGGATTGCTCGAGGTCAGGAGTTCAAAACCAGCCTGAGCGAGACCCCGTCTCTACCATAAAAATAGAAAGAAATTAATTGGCCAACTAATGTATATAATATAAAAATCAGCCGGGCATGGTGGCGCATGCCTGTAGTCCCAGCTACTCGGGAGGCTGAGGCAGGAGGATCGCTTGAGCCCAGGAGTTTGAGGTTGCTGTGAGCGAGGCTGACACCACGGCACTCACTCTAGCCTAGGCAAGAAAGCGAGACTCTGTCTCAAAAAAAAAAAAAAAAAACACAAACAAAAAAGTCCCATTGACGTTAGCAAGAAAATCTATAAAGTACCTCACAAGAAGTCTATTGGACTTGATAATGGGAAGGTACCATGTTCAAGGATCAGGACATTTGATAACGTGATGTCAGATGTCTCTTAAAATTAACCAGCTAAGTATTCTTTCTAAATATTATATGTTGAAAGTATAATATCTGTTACTATATAAATACAAGGGCTCTTCAAAAGTTTCATGGAAAATATGTATTGTGAAAAAAACTATGCATGGATTTCATACTTTATCTGCACCAGAATAAACTTGTACTAACTTGTTACAACATATCTGAACAAAATCTAGCTTGAGGCACTAGAAAAGATAAGACTTTAGTTTAAAAAGAGCCTCTGTCAGAGCAACATGGATTCTGCTAAGATTGAAGCAAGAACAAAGATCAAGTTTGTGGTGAAGCTTGGGTGCAAGAATGGTGAGATTATTGAAGCTTTATGAAAACTTTATGGGTACAATGCCCCAGAGAAATCAGCTGCTTACAAAAGGATAATTTATAAAATCCATTAAGACAAATGGATAATTTGTCTTAAGAAGGAAAGACATGATGTGGCAGGTGAAACCCACAGCAGCAGACTATCTACATTAATTTGCAAGTAAAAATTCATCTTGTTCGTGCCTTAGTTGAGGAGAATTGACAATGAAGAGCAGAAATTATAGCCAACACCATAGACATCTCAGTTGGTTCATTTTACACAATTCTGACTGAAATTAAAGTTGCGCAAATTTTCCATTTTATGGGTACCAAAACCATTATGCCCAGATGAGCTACAGATGCGAATGGAAATTTTATACAAGTGGGATCAAGATTCTAAAGCATCTCTTTGAAGAATTACAGGAGATGAAACATGGCTTTGCTAGTAGAATCCTAAAGAAGAAGCACAAAGCAATGGCTACCAAGAAGTGGAAGTGGTCCACTGGACTAAGTCAAGAGCAAAGGTCACGGCAACAATGTTTTGGGATGCTGATGGTGTTCGGCTTGTTGACTTTTTGGAGAGCCAAAGAACAATAACATCTGTTTATCATGAGAATGCTTTGAGAAAGTTAGCTAAAGTTTTAGCAGAAAAAAGTCTAGAAAAGCTTCACCAGGGAGTCCTTGACCACAACAATGCTCCTGCTCTTTCCTCTCATCAAACAAGGGCAATTTTGCAAAACCTTTCATGGGAAATCATTGGGCATCCACTTTACAGTCCTGATTTGCCTCTTTCTGACTTTTTGTTTCCTCACCGGTTGTTGTTTTTTTTTTTTTTTTTTTTTGAGACAGAGTCTCACTTTGTTGTCCAGGCTAGAGTGAGTGCCGTGGCGTCAGCCTGGCTCACAGCAACCTCAATCTCCGGGGCTCAGCGATCCTACTGCCTCAGCCTCCTGAGTAGCTGGGACTACAGGCATGTGCCACCATGCCCGGCTAATTTTTTGTATATATATTTTTAGTTGGTCAATTAATTTATTTCTATTTTTGGTAGAGACGGAGTCTCGCTCAGGCTGGTTTCGAACTCCTGACCTTGAGCAATCCGCCCGCCTCGGCCTCCCAAAGTGCTAGGATGACAGGCGTGAGCCACCACGCCCGGCCTCCTCGCCGGTTTTTAAAGGCTAGTCACATGGAGCAGTGGGAGTGGAGAAGGAACAAAGACATCTGTAACTGGTTGTGATCAATTAGTTGTAAACACCACTGCACTCAGACCAGCCTTGTTTCCTAATCTTAAAATCTGTAAAGGGCTATGTGTTGCCCAGGCTGGCCTCAAACTCCTGGGCTCAAGCAATCCTCCTGCCTCAGCCTCCCTAGTAGCTGGGACTTTAGGTACACACCACCTCACCCAGCTATCTTTTTTATTTTTATCTTTTAATTGTATTTTGCCACAAACTTCTTGAAGTCCCTTGTATATTACCATGTTTCCCCGAAAAATAAGACAGGGTCTTATATTTATTTTTCCTCATGAAGACACCCTAGGGCTTATTTTCAGGGGATGTGTTATTTTCCCCTCAAAGCCTCAGCTTGCAGCACGCACAGGATGGCCAGGACCTGACAGGGGGAGCCGACCTTGTTGGTGGGACTGCTCACACCTTTGCGGTCACCTCTAGGATAGTAGCTGTCACGATGGGGCAGATGAGAAGGGCTACTCATCTTCTTTACCGCAATGAAATGCATGGGTTGTGCAGATACACTGCGTAGCCACGCCCAACACTATGTCTTATTTTCGGGGTAGGGCTTATATTGCACAAATGCTTAGAAATCCTGCTAGGGCTTATTTTATGGGTAGGTCTTATTTTCAGGGAAACACGGTAGTAATACTAAAATGACTACTAAATTTTTTCCTATTACAGTAATACTGTTATACAATTAATGAATGTGAGATCAGTTTTTGCTGGTGGTTAGCATTAATAATGAGTAACATTTGTAAGTGCTTATGATACAGGAAGAAGCATGGCTCACTCCAGGAGCTGTCAGAAGGCCAATTTGACTGAAGCTCAGCAGGCAAGGGAGAGTGAGGTACATGCAGCTGCCCTGTGAGCCATACCAAGTATTTTATTAGATCATTGAAGGGTTTTAAGGCGAGTGACATAATTAAATGTGTTCTTTGATGAGATCTCTCTGGTGATCTTTGAATAATTGATTGGCCAAGGGGAGACTTGGCAAGATGAGCCAGCTATCTATGAGAACAATTCCTCAAGGGATAATGGTGGCTGAAACTGTGTGGTGGTGCTCATCATTGACATTGGGGCACACTGAAATAAGACCACATTTGCAGAGAGGAGATCATAAATTTAGTTTGGACATGTTGGTTTTTAGGTTCCTAAAAGAAATCTAAGTGGGGATGTCAGGTAAATAATAATATGAACTGGAGATAAAGAGATGGTCTAGATCAGGGGTCCTCAAACTTTTTAAACAGGGGGTCAGTTCACCGTCCCTCAGACCCTTGGAGGACCGTTGGAAAGTGCAGGCGCACATTCTGCACATGCGCACTGTGGGCCCAGAACAAGTCGGCTGCTAATAAGCAGGACAGGCAGCGGTGGCAAAAACACCCGGGGGGCTGGATAAATGTCCTTGGCGGGCCACATGTGGCCTGTGGGCCGTAGTTTGAGGATGCCTGTTCTAGGTGGTAATGACAGTCATAGGTTTGGACATCATGATCCTATAGATTACGTATAGAGTGAGAAGTACAATGAGATATAGTCTTGAACACCAACAGGTAAAGATCTGATAAGAAGCTGCCCCCTAGGCCAAGTGCAGTGGCTCATGCCTATAATCCTAGCACTCTGGGAGGCTGAGGCAGGATGATTGCTTGAGCCCAGGAGTTTAAGACCAGCCCGAGCGAGATCCCGTCTCTACCAAAAAAAAAAAAAAAAAAAGTTGCCACTATATGTGATGTGCACATTCATTCTAATGAAACAATTAGAAATTCAGAGTTTGTACAATTTGAACAATGAGCTTCACAATAATAAAATGATGCCTGTAGTCAACTATACAAACTTTATTTGAGTTGTTTCTGTTTGCCTACTTAATTTCAACACTCTCACACAATAAATGAAGTATTTCAAAATGACAAACTACTCAGTTTGACTTGGGATGTTGAATGGCCCATGATAGAATAGATATAACTATAAAACAGAATAAAATTGTGTGAGAATATTGAAGAATATAAACCTAATAGTGTGTAAGAATTATGGAATTCGCATGTGACTTTTCCAATGTTTATGTCAATAGCAGTACACAACTATTAACATTTTCCTGCTTTTTTCTATTAGCAATAAAACACAGTTATCCACACAACATGATATTTCCAGGGTTAGAAAACACAATTAAAATTGTTTTAATGGGTCTTTAAATGATTCTAATTTTTGTCCTCAATAAATGCATTAATTTATGTCCAGGTATAGCTAGGAAATGTCTTTAAAGTAGAATCATGGCTTTCCTGACTTTTTAAAGCTACTGCAAGCAACAGATACAAAAGTAGACAGATGAACAGACTAATCTAGAAATTGACCCTATGAATTTTTTTTTCCATAATAAAAGGCTGAACATAAAGCAGCAGGAAACCAAACAGGTTATCTGTGATGCTTTATAGTTGCCAAGATTGAGGTTTGTCAAAAATCACCACAGAACTGACTTCCTATGTCTGCATTTTTTTGTGGCTTTGTCTTTCATAATATTTGATGACTACCAGATGTGAACTGATTTACGTGAGAGTCTTCTTTCTGTGTTTATGACATCTCCATCTACCCAATCTCACACGAGGTGAAAGCTTCAGTCTTTTTTTAGTCCTTGCTCTCTATTTCCTTCAATTGACTTCTTAGATCTGACTGTTCATTCTAAGTCTCTAACTTTAACCACTTCGGTATGAGTGTCGACTATAGTCGATAGCCACAGGTGAACACGCACAGCGACTTTAGCCAACAGCTGTGATATGACTTTTCTAATTTTTTTATCAAAATAAAATTGTGGGCCAGGCGCAGTGGCTCACGCCTGTAATCCTAGCACTCTGGGAGGCCGAGGCGGGCGGATTGCTCGAGGTCAGGAGTTCGAAACCAGCCTGTGCAGGAGGGAGACCGCATCTCTACTATAAATAGAAAGAAATTAATTGGCCAACTAATATATATAGAAAAAATTAGCCGGGCATGGTGGCGCATGCCTGTAGTCCCAGCTACTTGGGAAGCTGAGGCAGGAGGATTGCTTGAGCCCAGGAGTTTGAGGTTGCTGTGAGCTAGGCTGATGCCACGGCACTCACTCTAGCCAGGGCAACAAATAAAATTGTGAACATTTAAAAATAACGTAATAAAAACATATATGTATATGTTACCTATTCTGATTTACATTACAAGTAAAGCTGCGTGTAAAGTAAAACAAGCTTTCAGTGCTTTCAAGCTTTCATCACACAAGAGCAAAATGGATTGGTCGTCAATGCACAGCACAGACTATCGTGCGGACTGAGTGCCGGCTGTGGGCAAGGTTTTGCGGCCGGTGAGCACCGTACCGAAGTGGTTATTAAATAGAATATAATCATTTCTGAAAAACTTTCAGTGGCCTTTCAACTATTCTTATTTGCAAAGTCTCTCTTCTGTTTCATTTCTCATACTGGCATCACTGGCATTTTTAATAGAGACTCTTCTTGGACATTCTTATTGTGATGGTTTAAGAATATACTGATTATATGTGAGATAAGATCTGATACATAGTGTGTGCTTTATATATGTTCTCTCCCTTCTCTGTTACAGAAAGTTGTCGAATTGTATCTGAATTGTTTACCTTGACATCTCCCCTTAGCAGCAGGAACCTTGTCTTCATTTATTCCAAGTGCCAAGTACTACTGCATAAATATAAAATAATGATTCTCATTCTTAACAATATGAGCAGTTTTGTAACTTACCTCTAACACTAAATTTCTAATTAACTTATAACAAAATAGTCATTTCAAAAGACTTAGAGCATAACAATTTCTAATTGTGTAGATTAAGAAAACATGTTATATTTTCTATGGTATCTATTTTATCAGGGTAAGTATGAATTGTACTTCAATGACTGTCAGCAATGATTTCTGATTTAATTCATACCTTAAACTCACTCTATGTCATAAAATAACTGATATAGATTATCTTTTCCTATAGGAAAAAAACCTTGAAGATAACCTACAGAGTTTGGCTACACAATTAGCTCCTATTTATAAGCAGTATGCTCCAGTTGCTTACCAAAATCAGGTATGTTTTGGAACCGTATACATTTCTCTTAAGCATGATTGAGCCTTTTTTGAGGTCTCACTCTGTCGCTCCGGGTAGAGCTCATTGCAACTTCAAATTTCTGGGCTCAAGTTATCCTCCTGCGTCAGCCTCCCAATTACCTGGAACTACAGGTGTGCATCACCACTCCCAGCTAATTTTTTTTTTTTTAGAGATAGGCTCTCACCTTGCTTTCCATGTTGCTCAGGCTGGTCTTGAACTCCTGGGCTCAAGGGATCCTCCCACCTCAGCCTCTCAAAGTGCCGGGATTACATTAATGCACTGCACCCAGCCCCAAACTTTTTATATATATTAAAAAATCATTATTAATAGAAAACTTTTCAAATTGGAACATAAATTCATATATATAAATAGTATATTTATATAAACATATAAAATTAGTGTTTTAAATGATTAATCTTTTTTAATAATCTTCCAGTTATGACAGTTGAATTAAGACTCCAAGGTGGCAGAAGTATATTTCTATTAATAACAATTATAAAAACAAGAATTCATGGTTGGTTCAACATATGAAAATCAATACATGTAATATATTGTGGATTCAGGAAACTCATTTGACAAAACCAACCTTCTTGCACAATAAAAAATAAACACTCTACTAAACTATCAATAGGAACAAAAAAAGGCCTAAAAAAGGGCAACTAACTACACAAAACACACAGTTAACATCATAATTAATGGTAAAAGACTAAAAGCTTTCCTAAGATCTGGAACTAGATAAAGATGTCTACTCTCACCATTTATGTTAAACATTGTACTCCATGGAGGTTCTAGCCATGGCAATTAGGCAAGTAAAAGAAATCCAGATTGAAAAAGGAAATGTAAAACTCTACCAGCAGATGATATGATTCTGTATATAGAAAATCTAAGGAATCCACATAAAAACTATTAGAGCTAATTGGCAAGTTCAGCAAGGTTTCAAAACATAAGGTTAATAATGTAAAATAATAATAATGTAAAAGCCACTGTACACTAGAAATGACTAATCCAAAAATGGAATTAAGAGAAAATTGATGATTGGGCCAGGCATGGTGGCTCATGCTTGTAGTTCCAGCACTTTGGGAACCCAGGGAGGGAGGATGACAGAGGCTAGGAGTTTGAAATCATCCTGGTTAACATAGTGAGTGAGACTCCATGTCTAGAAAAAATTTCTTTATAAAAAGAAAAAATAGGGCTGGGCGAGGTGGGTCATGCCTGTAAACCTAGCACTCCGGGAGGCCAGGGGTTCGAAACCAGCCAGACCCCGTCTCTACTAAAAATAGAAAGAAATCAATTGGCCAACTAACACATATACAAAAAATTAGCTGGGCATGGTGGCACATGCCTGTAGTCCCAGCTACTCGGGAGGCTGAGGCAGTAGGATTGCTTGAGCCCAGGAGGTTTGAGGTTGCTGTGAGCTAGGCTGACGCCATGGCACTCTAGCCTGGGCAACAAAGCGAGACTCTGTCTAAAAAAAAAAGAAAGCCACCACCTCCAGTCAGAGGTCCCGTATTTTAAAAAATATTTAGTTTATTTGTATTAACATTAATAACATGCTCTCTGTTAAGTTCCAACTTTTCTCTTTTTTTTTTTTAAGACAGAGTCTCACTCTGTTGCCTAGGCTAGAGTGCTGTGGCGTCAGCCTAGCTCACAGCAACCTCAAACTCCTGGGCTGAAGGGATCCTCCTGCCTCAGCCTCCCGAGTAGCTTGGACTACAGGCATGCGCCACTATGCCCAGCTAGTTTTTTCTATATATTTTTAGTTGTCCGACTAATTTCTATTTTTAGTAGAGACGGGGTCTCGCTCTTGCTCAGGCTGGTCTCGGAACTCCTGATCTGAGCGATCCTCCCGCCTTGTCCTCCCAGAGTGGTAGGACTAACTTTTCATTTTAAACGGAATTATAAATTCACTTTCTGTCATCATGGTTCATGGAATTGTATAGATATCTACTTTTTGTAGACCTCGAAAACTGTGCATATGTATGTTTGTTGGTCTTTCTAATGGAATAATATAAGCCACTTTACTTGTTTATTCACCTTCAGCAGGAATTAGTGTCCTCACTCTGCCTTCTGATGTAAAGTTAGGCATTGTCATTTTTCTCCATGTATTCTCAAGCACTTTATCCACAGTATTGCTAAACTACACATTCACAACCATATTGTAGTCGCAGAAATGACAAAGTGTAATTAATGTAAGAACTTGTCAGGAAATGATTTGTAGACTTTACTAAAGGTGATTTTCCCCCCAGTCTTTTAAAGCTGTGTTTCACACTTTCTTCTTTAGGTAGAATATGAAAATGTTGCCCGAGAATGTCGGCTTGGCAGCAAGGAAGGTCGTCCTTTCTCTGGGGTCACTGCTTGCCTGGACTTCTGTGCCCATCCCCACAGGGACATTCACAACATGAGCAATGGAAGCACTGTGGTATGTACCTGAGTAGCTTTCAATTCTCAAAGCTACATCACTGTATACTTAGGCTGCAGTTCTTAACTCTGATTGTTATTGTGACAAGTTGTATTTTATGTGCTGTTAAATATAAGGATATTTATAGGTTATTTGTTAGATTTATTATCAATGTGCTTTTTTTTTTTTTTGAAACAGAGTCTCACTCTGTTGCCTGGGCTAGTGTGCCATGGCATCAGCCTAGCTCACAGCAACCTCAAACTCCTGGGCTCCTGCCTCAGCCTCCCATGTAGCTGGGACTACAGGCATGCACCACCATGCCTGGCTAATTTATATATATATATGTAGTGTGTGTGTGTGTGTGTGTGTGAATTTCTATGAAAATAAAGAAAAGCAAAGATTAATAGTTGGAAACCTGGTTACTGAGGCTGGAGGGAAGCCAGTCAAGATTTTTAGGTGTTGGACTTGAGGATGGCAGTGGTGATCCAACACATTTACTGGTTTGCAGTTTCAATGTCTCTGGTGATGGTACTGAGTGTTTATGGCAAAGTTTCTGAGTGACCCACCCAGGAGCAGGTTTAAATATGATTTCTTTTAAGTTTATATCAAGTTTTCTAACTTCAGCTTATAGGGCTTTGGGAAATAATCAATATCGATTTGAGCAATATCAATTTTTCATTACTTTAAGCCAGAGGATGGGAGACAAATTGGAAATAATAGTTTGGAGAATTGTAGCCAAATATTGGAGGAAACTATTTTTAATAGAATAATACAGGATCCAGTTCAATTTGCAGATAGTCTTCAAAGACTAGAATTTGATACCCAGAGAGTATGTTATAGTTTTCTACTGAAACAATTTTCTCTTTAAAAATCATTCTTATTGGCCAGGCGAGGTGGCTCACCCCTGTAATCCTAGCACTCTGGGAGGCCAAGGCGGGCAGATTGCTCAAAGTCAGGAGTTCAAAACCAGCCTGAGCGAGACCAGTCTCTACTATAAAAAGAAATAGCCTGTAATCCTAGCTCTCTGGGAGGCCGAGGCGGGCGGATTGCTCGAGGTCAGGAGTTCGAAACCAGCCTGAGCAAGAGCGAGACACCGTCTCTACTATAAATAGAAAGAAATTAATTGGCCAACTAATATATACGAAAAATTAGCTGGGCATGTGGGTGAATGCTGTATTCCCAGTACTTGGAGGCTTAGGCAGGAGATCCCTTAGCCCAGGAGTTTGAGGTTGCTGTGAGCTAGGCTGATCCCGGCACTCACTCTAGCCTGGGCAACAAAGCGAGACTCTGTCTCAAAAAAAAAAAAAAAGAAAAATAGAAAAAATGAATTGCCAACTAATAGAAAAAAACCGGCATAGTGGCACCATGCCTGTAGTCCCAGCTACTCAGGAGGGCTGAGGCAGTAGGGATCACTTGAGCCCAGGAGTTTGAGGTTGCTGGAGCTAGGCTGACGCATGGCACAACTCTCAGCCTGGGCAACAAAGCGGACTCTGTCTCAAAAAAGCAAAAAACAAACAAAAATCATTCTATTTCTATCAAGGTGATCAAAATAAGACTAATTTGTTGAAAATAACTATTGAGCCTGGCACAGTGGCTCATACCTGTAATCCTAGCACTCTGGGAGGCTGAGGCGGACGGATTGCTCAAGGTCAGGATTCAAAACCAGCCTGAGCAAGAGTGACCCGTTTCTTTACTAAAAATAGAGAGAAATTAATGACCAACTAAAATTATATAAAAATATATATATATGTTTTTGTTGCCCACTAAAATCAGAATTACATTCATAAGTGTAAATTACTTGCTTTCCAATTTGTATCTATCAAATTCTATCATAAAGGCCCGGCGGTGGGGTGGCTCACACCTGTAATCCTAGCTCTCTGGGAGGCCGAGGCCGGCGGATTGCTCAAGGTCAGGAGTTTGAAACCAGCCTGAAGCAAGAGCGAGACCTTCCGTCTATATAAATAGAAGAAATTAATTGCCAACTAATATATACACACAAAAAAATTAGCCGGGCATGGTGCGCATGCCTGTAGTCCCAACTACTGGCAGGCTGAGGCAGCAGGATTGCTTGAGCCCCAGGATTTAGGTTGCTATGAGCTAGGCTGACGCCACAGCACTCACTCTAGCCTGGCAAACAAAGTGAGACTCTGTCTCAAAAAAAAAAAAAAATTCTATCATAAACCAAAAATATCTTGAAAATCAATCTGTTTTCAGTTTTTTTATCTTAAGAAACGCTTTGAGCTCTGGAAAGATTTTTTAATGAAAAGTAAAGAAATGATTTGATGTTTCTCTTCGATTTCGAAACAACATTGGGAAGTAAATTATAATTATAAATATATCATAAAGCAAAATATTAATAGGTATCAAAGTTAGATATCTCTTT